GTGTGTGTGTGTGTGTGTGTGTGTGTGTGTGCGTGTGCGTGAGTGATGTGAGATATCTCTACCCTTAAGCTACCAAAGGCAGGAACCGAGTCAAGTTCAAGAGCTGCATCCTTGATGATAACATCAACAAGAAGAAATGTTCACCGGACGTGTTGGTAACATATCCCTAAAAGACGCCCGTCCACCGACAGTATATAGAATGCGTATTCTTTGATGCTTAAATTTCGTCAACAGACCCCACGTGTTGATTGTTTGGGTACGTTTCTTGTTATGTTTTACGGGAGTTGGGAGGAAGTTTTTTTCTACTCGTTGTCTGTATCAATGCGTGCGTACATTTGGTTGTGTGTTGTTTAACGCCGCACTCAGCAATATCCCAGCTATATGACACTTTTTAACAAAGACTACTAAGCAAGGAACAGACACTGGTTGTGTGTATAATACAGGTGGCTACAGCTTTGAAATGATTCTTGTTTGTTGTTGTTATGCTTCTACAGATGAAGACATCAGTTTTTATTGTGTTGCTCGTTGCATCTTGTACGTCTGAATGGTGGCAACGAGAGCAGTGTCAAACAGCAGACGCCACACCCAGCGCCCGTAATGGCGTGTCGCACAAACCTGCACCCTGTGTGAGAACCACTCTGCCTGACACCTACTGATTCATATCGTGCTGACAGTTCATGGCTTAATAACTGTCCATTATATAATCGTACAAAAGCCAAATGACTCAGGAAGTTGGTTGGTTGGTTTGTTGTTTAACGCCGCACTCAGCAGTATTCTAGCTATATGACGACGGTCTGTAAATACTCGAGTCTGGACCAGACAGTGATTGATATCATGAGCATCGATCCACGCAATTGGGATCGATGACATGCATCAACCAAGTCAGTGAGCCTGACCACCCGATCCCGTTAGTCGCCTTTCACGAAAAGCATAGTCGCCTTTTACGGCAAGCATGGGTTGCTGAAGACCTATTCTACCCCGGATCTTCACGAAGATTCCAGTATGAATATACGTCTGGATGGTTCAGGCCATACGTCCAAACGGTCAAAACTGTTTCCCAATACTTCTAGGTGAAACCTTATCGTTGCATTAATTAAGAAATTAAGGACTCGTCGTTGTTTATCGTACAATAAAACACTGCAGGGGGAATAAACCATGGGGGGTGCAGTGTTTTACTGTACAATAAACAACGACCATGAGTCGTTTATTTCTGGTATGAGATACCAAAACTATGTACAGCCTCTTTTAGGATATTAATCAATTGTACAAGCTTTGAAAATATATTCAGGTATTTTAATAAGGATGACTCCCTGAATACAATCCGACCTCGGTAATGTCGAGCGATTTCATTTTATGACCGGGGGTATAAATTTGGTATTTCCAAGATATTGTCATAATTTTCACATCGATTATCTGCACCTTTTCTCTCAATACTGATTGTCCTATCTCTCCCACTTATGGATGCGTTTATTGCGTGTACCTGCGTTGCCCAGCTACATCTATGGGCAACAATTCACTCTAAAATATAACGTCGTCCAGTATACGACGTCATCACCTTGCGAACGCCTGTAAGAATCTCCAGAATGACGTCATGATAGAACAATGTTTTATCGTAAAATAAAACACGCTTCGTTCTTCATTGTTCTTTGCGATTTATGGCGTTGCTATCTTATATTCCGTGATAATGAAAACTATGTATACTCCAAGTCGTTCTGGACAGAAATGGTCGCCAGTACCACATGCTGGCTGGTTGATGGAGGCAACTGACTGAAGGATCGGTGGTTAGTACTATGTACTCTACGGCGTCAGGCAACAAACACTTGCTTTTGAGCACATTGTTTTAGTGATGGGTGCTACCGGTAGAGCAAGTCATGCTTACCCTTTTGGCGCGCACGTATCGTCACTGGTGTTCAGTGGTCCATTCATATGTTTTTCATGGCTCTTTTGCCTTTTGCGCCCAATGGAACCGTTTCGATTGGATGATCGAGACTGGCTTTTTGTGATTATCTTGTATTTACAGTGTAACCTGCTCTATTGTGACAGCAAACTAAACCATTGACTGTCCAGATAGGACTGTTCACAGGCAGTTGTGATATGTAGCATATTTGCTCACTGCCTGTTAACCAACGTAATGATCCTATTAATGTTATATCATATTCGATAACTTGATATTTTGAACCGGTATTTATGATTAGTAGATCAATATAAGGAGTTGATAGGAGCATCATGTTATGAGCTGCACTTGAAGCTTGGTTTCACCAATGTTTCATGCAAGAAGGAACATAAAAGATGGTGAACGAAGCTGGAAGTGATCGACTGCAACATGTGGACCCCTGCAGTGTTAATATTGCAATGGTGAAACATGAGTCAAGTCATAATTATGTGGACAAAGTGAAAATACCACAAATATCGAACAATAGTAATCATTGTTAATAATTCTAAGAATACTACCTCTATTACATCTCTGCCATAAATCCAGTATTTTGGCTTCAGTCACACTAACTAAAATCTTCAGATTTTCAGCAGACGTCCTCTTCACTGTCAATTACACAAATAGTTGTTGCCATGTAGCATCGTAACCACCCAAGCTATGACGTAAGCAATGACGGCAGCCTCACTTTTTCCGCCACATCTAACTACTAGAGGTAGATGAATTGGGGTGGGGGTGGGGGTGGGGGTGGGTGGAAGGGAGAAATTCGGATGTAATAGAGGTAGTATTCTTAGAATTATTACCAATGATGACTATTGTTCGATAATTCTTACGAAAATTCTACCTCTATTACATCTCTGCCAGAATATACAAGAGGGACCTTTATTTAGTGATTCAAATCCGAACTTGAGATAACTTCCTCTGAAATTCCCCCTGAGGACTTGAAAATCAGAAACAGGTCAAGAATCAGTCGAATACGTGATGCATTCACTAGAATTACCGTTATATTTGCTGATCTTGATCGTCATAATGAGGTCATTTCTAATCTACGTCTGCTCAATGATGTCATTTCTTGTTAGATTTGGATTTGTGACACTAATACCAGGGTGCTGACGTCACCTCCGGTTGTGACATCAACCCCCCTTTCGATAGAAGGGGAGAAACTATTGGTGGATGATAGTTTGCGCCGCAACAAAGGGACCAAGGGAATATATGCCCTCTAGGTCCTGTTGAACGTAACGGAAGTAAAGGCTTGTGAGGTGTTTTGTGAGGCCCACTGACATCTGGAAACTACTTGTTCTATTGAGACTGATGTCCATGGAGCGAGACTCGTGGCTTGGGCTCTGATTTCATGCGCTGAGCAGGATCCGAGACGTGGCGTGGAATTCTGAGCTTGTGTATAACTGTTGCAACGGTAGCCTTAAGTCAACCCACTATCGTAGCCTTGGTGATGTCCTTGTTGGAATGGGTCTTGCAGGATATAAAGTCTCCTTCGATGGCGTCAATGTGGGTCTGTAGCCAAGAGATAGAATTTGAGAGCTCTGATGGGACATAGAAATCTGTCTGGGTGATCCACTGTTGGTCCCAATGCAGGGATGGTAAAGTGTCTATGACCCAACGGCCACATTGTGGGAGACTGATTCTTGCCTACAAAATCTGGGAGCAATCTTAGAGTGATTGAGGTCCAGTGCTGATCATGAATGAGACAAGAATAGTCCAAGGCAAGCAACTCCGACACTTTTGCTGCTGTTGCCATGGCTAGCAGAAACGATGTTTTCCTGGCGTTTTGAAGTAGGATAGCCTTCGCCATGGGTTCTGAAACTCTTGCTGATGTTGCCATGGCTAGGTGGAAGGATGCTTTCCTGGATTTTGGAGTTAGGTAGTCTTAGCCATGGGCTCGTAAAGTTCCGTTTAAAGTGCCGATAGTACAACAGATAGATTTCACGGGTGGCCGAGTCGTCTAAGGTGCCGCGGTGGCTGTGCAGAGTTGCGTCCCTTGGGCAGGCCAGAAACCTATGATTGTGGGTTCGAATCCCGGTTCACCCCGATTGTTTCTAGGTTTGTCAGCACCATACCCGTGCTTGTGGGTTTCACCGTAGTGGTAAACGTCTAAGACCTGCATCACTTTGGGCTTTCCTCCCACATTAAGCTGACACGCCGTGATATAACTGTAATACTGTTCAAAGCGGTGTTAAACCCAACTCACTCACTATACCCGGCTGGTCGGCTGGCCGGCCGTTCGGCTCAGCTGGGTGGTCAGATGCAGAAGACCCCGTGTGTGATGATTGGACAGATGGCATCCCCTATATGGTCTCGTGACCGGGGAATTCTTCTCTGCCAGAGCTATCTCCTTGATTCTCTCCATTTCTTCATCAAGGGTTGAAAGGTTAGTCTCAAACATATTCTTCAACATCTCCTGCTGTCCTTGAATAGTTCATGAATCAGACTCATAGAGAGTGCAGGAAATGGTTGATCAGCTGGAGTGGGAGATGCCTGGGTGAAAGCCGATTTCTCGTCTGTGATGTTTTCTACCTTCATCTTGGCGGCCTCACGCCTCTTAGCCTTAGTCAGTGCCTCGGCTATTTTAGTGAAGGTTTTTGAGATGTGTTGGCACACTTTTCATATCTCTTAACTTCATTGCAGGAAGTGCCTCTGCAAAAATCTGAAAATTTTAGTTAGTGTGACTGAAGCCAAAATACAGGATTAATGGCAGAGATGTAATAGAGGTAGACGTTTCGTAAGAATTATATCAAATCAAGTTTTGTATATTTTGTGGCAATGGGCAAGTTCTTTCACTTGATCTGTAATTGGACTAAAATAAGTACCTCAGTCAGTGGTTACAATGACTGCTTACTATACCAGTAACTAGTGCATAGATGGGCAGGCAGAAGGGAGACCATCTGTGAGCTCTGCCTTGCTGATGTCAAATGTACTGTTCTGTTGAACCCTGGCTCTTTATTCTCATGGGCTGGAACCCTACTGCTGTCCCTTTCCTGTTGTGTTATTAACTATTCACTCACTCAAAATGAGAAAGCATTTTGATAGTGGCAGAAAAAAAGACATATATTCATTTTATTGCAAAGATATTTTATTGATAACCACACCACCATATATTACAACTGATGAATAAAATCTGATAAATTCAGTAACAAGGATCTGACACCAAGAAACAATAGAAAATTGTCACCAATCTATCCAACCTGTTTCTGTCATTAGAGATGCATTATCACACACAAATGAAGAGACACCCTTGACAGGAGGGGTCAAATGAGGTCCTCTGCTACAGGAGGGGGAAATCAAGTCCTCTGTGACAGAAGGGTGAGGATAAAGTCCTGTGACAGAAGGGTGAGATGAAGTCCTCTGTTGCAGAAGGGTGAAAAAGACCTCTGACAGCAGGGTGAAATGAGGTCCAATATGACAAAAGGGTCAGATGAAGCGTAGTGACAAGGGTGAGATGACTTCCTCTGTGAGAGAAGGGCGACATAAAATCTTCTGTGACAGAAGGGTAAGATGTCATGTGACAAGGGTGAGATGAAGAGCTGTGACAAAAGGGTGAGATGAAGTCATGTGACAAGGGTGAGATGAAGAGCTGTGACAGAAGGGTGAGATGGAGTCATGTGACAGGGGTGAGATGAGTTGGGGTCTGGGGAATGAAGCAGCAACAGATAACAATGTAACACACTGGGTCAACACTGAAAGGACAGCATGGAACATACCTAACACACTACTCATTTCTTTAATGACTGTTGTGCTGGTTCCACTGATCACCAAAAATAGACTTTTATCAGTTCTATTCAGATTAAGAAGGTATCAGGTTGGTATGCATAGATTGTTCAGGTGCGAAAATGTATAGACAGAGCACAGTACAGTCAACTCAAGATACAACAGTGTTGCATATAAGGAGCCCTCAGCTATACAATGGTAATAATGTTATTGTTCATAAGAATAGCAAATTTCAGACCAGACCACAACGAAGATGCCCAAGTTTCCTTCCCAATCAACTTCTGTCCAAACTCCCTAAAACTCATTGCATTACAGTGACATTCACAAGTTGCCCACTGACACTGCAAGAGGACTTGTCCAGAAAGAAAAGGCACGTTTCAAAGAATTAAAATAATATAACATAAACCACTTCTAAATATTCATTATGGCCATACCAACAGAATTCCGTTTGTCGAGTTCTATCTAGAGTTGACTGTCTATACTGAGACTCCCTGATGATGATGGAGTAGTGTGTGAGGTATGCCCATGACATAAGATCGCCCAATGACAGAGCAGGGAACTGAGGATGCTGATACACAACTGTGCAATACGTGGACCTATCATCTCTCTGATGTGGAGGATCATCTTCTATACACACAGCAGTCAGGGACAAGGAACATGCAATGAAACACATAGTTCTACATTTCAGTGAGCATTGCTAGCAGTATCACCTGGATGTTGTGAAAGGCTATATTTATCACATAGTTTTTCAACAACAAATTATTCTTTCTTATTTCGTAAGTTTCCTGAAATGAAATCAAAACACTGTGTACTTTCAAAAGTATGCCTATTTCAAATTGAAAAACCATGTCAAACTAAGTGTTTTTTCTCTTCTTTTACCATAAAATCAATCATAATTTCAATTTAATGATCAAAGTCTAACAAGAAAAACATGACTTTTACCCTTGGTATCATTACTACTTGATAGTGATTCATAAACACATGCTCATGATATAGTCGGAATCGTACAATCGGCCAATATTGGATATGGAAAGGGTTTTGTCGCTTTATTTGTAACTGACCAGCAAACTGCTTCCAGAACTGTAGTATACTGGGCAAGAAAATCAACAAAAACAAGAAATAAAAATGGTCTGGATATAGTTAATAAAATCCTGGGAAAAAGAGCCTTTTCTCTTGTCAATATGTTAGAGTGGTCTACTACATTGAAACACTTCATGTGACTGGTGTACACTGAAGCTGCTTCTCCCGTGTTCCAGTCCACATGCTGACAACATCCACATGATTGCTCGTTTCAGGGGACACTTAATAATAACAATAGCCTACAACAGCCAATAATACAAAATTGTCAATAGTTGTATCCCATGTAATTCTTCAAATATCATTTCACATTCAGTGATAGTTACCCAGACATTTAATACAAATCTTCTCAATGTATCTGATTTCATATAAATTCTTGTTTTTCTTCTGAATTCAGATGTTAACATCAAGACTACAAATCTATTGTGTATGTCTAAAACAACAGTGTGTGCGGATGCCATATCAAAGTGCTGTAGTTTGTGGTATATTCAACTGATCTAACACCATCTAAACAACCAATGTGCTTTCTTACTACACTGAAACACATATCTCTGAGTGAGTGAGTGAGTTTGGTTTTACGCCGCTTTTAGCAATATCCCAGCAATATCACGGCAGGGGACACCAGAAATGGGCTTCACACATTGTACCCATGTCGGGATTCGAACCCGGATCTTCGGCGTGACGAGCGAACGCTTTAACCACTAGGCTACCCGACCGCCCCACATATCTCTGAATGGGAACATTCTGCTAAAGATACATCCTTATAATGAGCTGTCATGTAACAAACGGCTGGATGAGCCAAACTGGGTTGAAACTAACTTAATCATTTTGTTGAGCAAAACCAACCCTTAAACTGTGCAAAAGATATCCTAAGGAAGCAGATCTATAAAACTCTATTGGATTTAGTTTTGTCCTCTAGAAAGAAAAAGCTACGTTGATTAGGGCACTTTTTGCCCATGAGATATGACTAATTCAGGAAATGAGGAAAGCCTTTGCAAATCAGAATGAATGTTAAGAAATATGTTGGTATGAATGAAAATTAGACTTTGCATGGTAAGGTGAAAATGTATCAGGTTGACTTTCAAGGTTTTGAGGAAGCATTTTTCTAATGTTTGGACATGACAAGACTTTTCCCCAAGCTGATTACTTAGGAGATGTAGCTAAGACAGTACAAACATTCATCGGGTGTCACAGACTTACTCATACACAGATTTTCTCTTGGAAGTTGAAGAATTGTCCCATTTTCACTCATTTAGCAACAATTTGGAATTCGGTTATATCAAAGTCCAAAACTTGCAAGCATAAGAAAGAAAAAAGGGTAGATGTTAGCAATTTGAACAAGTCTGATTATTTTCATACCAATATTTCAACGTTTTCCGCAACTTTAACATTTGAAATTCCCAGTGGGGCCCTAGCCTTGCTCTTGTTTTGAAAATTGAACTGACCTACCAGTTCTAAACAAATGTGTCAGAAAAACTCAACAAATATGGAGATGTGATTTCACATCACTATTCTCCCAACCAAACAAAAGACAAAATAAGCTCAACAATAATTCAGCAACAGCTCAAAGCAACGACGGTTCCTCCATGTAGAAGCCTAGCAGCAAGTGCACATGAGATCAGTGAGATGCACAGATGTCGCGGAGTTGTCCGTACGTCCATGACAAACATTTCAAGTGTGATAACAGAGGATGATATGAGGTGGTACGAAGATCCTGTGATGCAAGATAGCAGCGTCATCTCCCTCTTGTATGCAGCAGTTTCCTTGTCTATCACAATCCCAGAATAATCACATTCTGGCGGCTTTACAAAATAGGAGACATCCTTTCATGGTATATACATTTAACTGCACAGCCCATAATGTTCACAATATTCAACAATGAATGAAAAGACAGTGAAAACAGTCAGACATGCATATTTTATACTTGAAGGGACATGACTGGGTTTTGATTAACTTTCATATCAGCTGAGAACTTGAAAGAAAAATCGTTTCAAAACAGTTCCGTGTTTTACAGCATTGTGAAAAAGTGTTTTGACAAAATTAATGCTGATTAATTAACAATTGACAAAATACAAAATGTTGTGTATATCAAGAATCTTGATTCAAGATGTCTTGGAGAATAACAATCTGGAAATGAGTGTGTCCAAAATTTCAGTGACATTTTCAAAATGTCAGTACCGGTACCTTGTCTGTAAGTGTTACTGAATGAAGTAGTTGAGAGGTATGACGCTTAAGTGTACAAAAATAATGGATTCGTGAAAAATACTTGTGAATCCGATGTGTTGCCCCCTCCCTCCCACTACACACAGCCTTCCAGGCGGGTCACTAGTCACAGTGTCAGGATAAAGGGTTGATTTGCTATAAACCATTCATACATATACAGAGATATCTACATAGAGACTAGACAGTGTCCACTGGGAGAGTGAGGATACGCCCACAACAATTCTACTTGGGTATCAAACAGTTCCAAAGACAATAGCAAAATACTGCTAGGGTTGCCAATGTGTAAAAAATAAATTACTGGCATGTACAAGGTATACACCAGGTATACACCGTAGCTGAATATAGTGGAGATGAAGATGGGGAAATACGGTAGATATCCATCTTCCCTTGTACCTATACATGTATGTACAGTGACACGTAACGTGCATCATACACTGTCCCTCTTACCTAGCACACGAGATCTGGCTGTTGAAGCCTGGGGAAACAGCATGGAACATATACAGTAGAACTGCACTGATGAGAGCTAGTGGTACAGAATATACAATACACCACTGTTATAACATTTGTAGAATCTCAATCGGTTTCTTTTTATTAACACAAAATGAAACTTGTCTTTGAAAGGCATAAGGAAAAGAATTCATGGATGTCAACTTCTTTATTTTGGGGAACACGTTTCGGAGTACATGTATGTGCTAACTCCTTCATCACCTGATGACCGAGTGGACATATACTCCAAAATGATGTGTTCCTCCAAATAAAGAAGTTGACATCCATAAATTCTCTTCCTTAAAATGAAACTTTATATACTTTTCAAAAGAAGTTAAATAACACCCATTTTGTTCATATAACTATAGTTAATCTGTCATGCCTAGTCTTGGGCCATGACTGTGAAACTTATATATATATTTATTTTTCACTAAAAGCCTTGGCAAATCTAGTTTCCTTGATTCAACACCAGAGGAGGTAAGGTTCTTTCGAAAAAGAAAGAAAGAATTATTTTAAAGAAATGTTTTCACAGACTAAGAGGTCATGACATAACTATAGTAATATGAAAGAATCGGGTGTCCTTTTATTTCTTTTGAGCAGTATATATTATCAAAGCGTCATTTCTTATCGAGGACAAGGTCAGAATAAAAGTCTGTTTTCTGACCAGCAAAATCTCATGTATAGTTGAAGAAAACCTGGAGGATTGGGACAAAATGGTTTGTGGTGTAATACGGTATATATAGAGCGCCAATGGTTTTCATCAATAGCCAACAGCATCAAAGAATGTGGCACTGTGCAGTTTTCCTTACATATGCTCATGTGAAGTCTGAAGACGATAGAGGACAAACATCTCATCATTGCCTGTCTACAGCCAGTTGTAGAAATACATCTTATTTCATAAAAGTGACATTTCTCTTGAAATACAAACAATGTTAATATAACTATGAACCATCACATTATCACTTACAAAACAATTTATCACATGACCGATACATCAGTAAATAGAATATAGATGGTGAAGAACAGTGGGACAGTAAACATTCAACAACAATCTTGCAACATTCATGAGTCATTTTAGATAAAACACTCTCCTGTACATTCCAACGATCACAGCTAACCTGAACTATGTATAGAGGTAACAAATCACAAGGTTCTTGTCTTCACCAACTCTCCACAATGACCAGTTTTCTAGAAACATCTGTGGCCTCAAATCCTCTCTGTGTAGGGGAAAACCATCTTCCCAAGGCAAGGGAGTTAACTGACTGTAAAAGTCTAGTTCCCATCTTTGCTGAACTAGGATGGAATTTCTGGGTTCAATCATAGCGCCACAAGTGGCTGTTACAAGTTATGTCCCATCTATGTCCCGCCTATTGACAAATCAGATTCCACCTCTCATATTACTTGCATTTGCTTCCAACAAAATGGTGGTGCCCAGTCAAGACGATCTGATCGATAATCAAGATCTATTTCGTAATAAAACAGATCTTACTTACCGAAGTACATCAAATCATGTGAGCACCTTGTAAAAACATTGGAAAAAAGATTTGGAAAATATCTGTTGATGCTAAGTTGACGGAACACATGTTTTGCAAATCCAGCATTCGACCAAAATCGGCTTTATGAACTGGATGTCGATTTCATTCCGCAATTTTGATTGGACTATTCATTGACTCTTTAGTCCAGCCAAAATACAACTCCATAATGCCAGCCTAAGTCGGCAAGGTTGGAAACTGGACTTACTTATACTACTGGACTATTATAGTCAGTAGACTCTCTTGCCTCAGAAAGATGGGGGAAAACAGACAATGTTGGACCACAAAAGGATCAGTGGACAAACTGTACAGAAAGCAAGGAGAAAATTTCAGTTTCTTTACTTACTCTTATACAGTTAATTAGGACAACTTTGTGTTCTCCATGAGAACATTTTTATAAACATTTAGTCTTTTGGATTACTTCCGCTCGAAAGTGATTGGTCCCTGGCTGTTTGACCTGGGTTTGAACAGCACCATTCTATCCACAGGAAATGTAGAGCTCAGATAAAAGATTATTCATAATTAGGGCCCATTAAAAACAACAGAAATGTTGTGAGTGACCATGTGTGTATGGTTTACATATTCTGACCAGGAAATACAAGGTGAAATAACAATTTGGTTGTGATACAGCTCTCTTATTGTCACATGTCTTGTTATTAACCCATTGTTTTCTAGCCAGAGGAGAACATCACACAGGAGCGCAGTCAGCAAAGGGTACTCCATATAAAGGGTTAATGAATCATTTCCTATAGATGTTCACAGCCATCATGCAGAGTCTGGCTCACAAACATACAGAGAGAGAGAGAGTTGTGGGAACAAGGACTAACAGTATCACGATACACAACCATTGTGTAGTACTTCTCCATGCTTGTAGTGCATACACTAAGTGCATTCAACGCTTGCAATTTCAGGTCTCGATTTATAACCAACTGGTATGCTGACTTGTAAATAGTTAATATGCTGTCATAACTTAAAGAAAATAATAACAACCATTCATGCATTGAGAGAGTGCGCTGTGTATCAGTGAGTGGGAATCAGCTGATCTCAATGAGGTATCTGGTGAAGTGGGTCCCAGTCTTTTTAACACAGCAACAGTTCACAGTAAACCACTACATTAAACATCTTCCATTTATAATTAAACACTGATCCTTTATAGATAAGAGTTTAGTGAGATACGCTGATAGATGGTAAAAAATACATATGATAATTTACTGCATTAATTAATAATATGGGGATAAATACGGTATCGAAGAACATGAACAGAAAACTGCAGGGACGTTATACAGTAACCAGGGTCTTTCATAAAGGTCAGAGATTTTTACAAAATGTTGAACATAAATGGGCTTTCATTCACCTGTGTCATCCTGAAATTATTTCTAGTGGTAGACTGCAAACTGTTGCAATGCTTCATTATGGCAATAGTGTTCTTGTATTGTAAATTAACCATTGTGATAATGTCTATAAATAAAGTTACTACTACAAATCAAAAACTAAATCCTTTAAATGAAACCCAAACTTGAAATGAAAAAATTTAACATCATGCATTTCACTTGAAATTGAAACATTTAACAATTATAAAATGCTGAACTTGCTCTTTCGTTATGATCAAATGCAGGACAAGTGGTTCGAATGCTGGGATGGGGGGATGGAGAACTGGGGAAAACGATTAGGCAGTGTGTACTGTGTTACTGCAAGGAATGGAGGTCTGTATGACAGCCTTCGTCTCCATCACTCTGGGGTTTTACCATGCAGAACACTATATCTGGGACCAAATTAGCAGCATCTTAATTCAGGTTCTTTCAATTTCAAGCCATTACTTCTAAACTGTTTTGATAAAAGTGTGAACCACAACACAAGAAAAACATCAAATGAGGTGAACTAGAGAGATCTGTGCAGATTTACCACTTATCAAATTGTAAAAAAATCTCAAAATTCTTTACAAAACACAATGAGAATTAAGTGTTTACATAGAAAAGTAAAAATGTTGACAATATTTTTTAGTTAAAAACAAATCCTTTGGTCGGGAGATCCCTTAATACTTGTGATGGCGAATGTCCCAAACATGGCCGTCCTCCTCACATGCACTAAGGCACAAAGCACCCCTGAGTACACTGATATAGTCTCTCATCACTTACCCTTCCTCAGCGGTGAGGCTTGCAAAGAGGAGGCAGAAACAGTGTTAGACAATACAGTTGACAAAACAAAATACACTTTTCTTTCCACAGTGTTCCAAATCAGGCACGAAAGTCGAGGGGTCCTTATTTTCACAACCCTTATGACAGAAAAATAAAGGCTGAGGGTCCTTGATTTTAAGACCATAAGAGCCAAGGTCTACAACACCTGACCCCTGACCACCCATATTTTGAACACTGCTTCATATGTAATTTTTCAGGCAATAATGATTGTATTTAAAACATGCACGCTGGCTGATTACTGTTAGAAAATTAGAGAAATATTATCAGTTTCATTGTTCAATGTATAAAAAGTAGACATGTAGAAAGACGAAAACTTTAGGATCGTATTTCTTTTATTTGAATGCCAAATGTGTCACACTTGTCGCTCCAGATGAATGACATTTTTTGTCACAAAGGTGTTGAAGGGCAAGAAGTACTGTGAAATATTGTATCAGTTTATTTCAAAATGACAAACAAACAAACATTGGAAGAAACCCATCTAACTCAAGGCAAAGACAACACTGACAAAAAGAATGTTTTGATGCTTACAAGTCTTTTTCTGCTTTGAGGATTTCTAGGGGGAGCCAAGTTGGAGAGCTGCAATAGATCAAAGTCTGTCAGTACATTGCAGGGGACACAACAAGGCACAGGGAAGGGAGTGGTGGGAACACACATCGAGGCTGGAATTCAAGAGTCACTAATGTCTTTTCCTCTTGAATATTTCAAAGTAAAAAATGAAAAGAAATGCCAGCTTTTTCGATAAATCTGCCGTTATTTAATGATCTTTGACCTGGATGCTGGAACTGAATTATTGAAGATCATTGCTGTGGCAAGCCTGACTTTTTCTCGATGCCTCTTAGTAATGTACTGAGTAGATGCATCATCAACTGCTAGCCTTGTGTTCAAAGCTTCAGCAGATTGTCTACGTGTAGTGAGTGAGTTGGGTTTAACGCCGCTTTTAACATTATTCCAGTTATATCACGGCATGTCAGCTTAATGTTGAAAGAAAGCCTGAAGTGATGCAGGTCTCAGAGGTTTACCACTTCGGTGAAACCCACGAGCACGGGTATGGTGCTGACAAACCTAGAATCATAATTTGGGCGAACCGGGATTCGAACACACAATCATAGGTTTCTGGCGTGCCCAAGGGACGCAACTCTGCACAGCGAATCGCGGCACCTTAGCCGACTGGGCCACCCGTGCCCCCCGTCTACGTGTAAGTACAACTGACATTACTATTGTACCAGCTTACTCTTTGAATATCATTATAAACCCTCTCATCTTCTAAACTACACAGGTAGATCCCTCCCTTGCCTTACAGAAATGTTTCTACACTGGGTGGGTGAGCGGTAAAAGAAATGGGCTGTGAATGGCGAGAGTGAGATTTAATACTTGACCACCTTTACTACATTTGTGACCAGCATGTCGGCTACAAGATGGCAATCGGTGCCATAAACTTTTGAGTCTACAAGCCCAAACCTGTTTCTTGACATTCTTTTCAGTAGATCTTACTGTTAATGTAAGGACCTTTATAAGCAAAGCTTACGAGATCGAAAGAAATTTGACTTGGGCTATGAACTAGTGGGTAAAGTAACAGTTAGGCTAACAGATGGGTAAGAGTTATCGTGGCGACACTGCCGCACGCTCTCTACCATGTACACTCACAGAATGAAAACATGTTAGCTCTCACATTAGTTACCATCCTATCCAAATCTGTGAATCAAGTTGAGCTATGTGTGAGACCTTTTCCTCCCACATCAGAAATGTGAACTATGGGAAAAAAACGTCAATCTATCAAGGAACTCTTATAAATAACATAACAGTGGAAACAGTAACAAACTCTAATTGCAATTAAAATTTGCTGAAATTTGTCACAAAAATGGCAACACGAAAGTCCTAGAGTTTGCACTAATCTCTTCTAATTGTTTTCGTGACATTAAAGGGGAACTGTGCTTGTCTGGAGTCCAGTTTCAGTCCAGGGCCCACTTGCACAAAGCGATCTTAGCACTACAACTATTGTAAGCCTATGTAAAAGTATGGGAGTTACGATCATCTTAGCGCTAAGATCGCTTTGTGCAAGTGGGCCAAGGTCCAGACATTGTTATTGGTGATGTGTGAACCTTAGACATTATCTTGGGCAACTGAGACAGCCGCCAGATGCAGACATGATAAAATTGGATTGAGCAGATAACAAAGCGGTGTTTGATTTACTAAACCAAACTTGCCAGGACTGTCAATTTGCCCAAGCCAAGTCCCCCTTTAAGAATCATGTTGTGCCAGGACTGTCAATTTGCCCAAGCCAAGTCCCCCTTTAAGCATCATGTTGTGCCAGGACTGTCAATTTGCCCAAGCCAAGTCCCCCTTTAAGCATCATGTTGTGCCAGGACTGTCAATTTGCCCAAGCCAAGTCCCCCTTTAAGAATCATGTTGTGACAACACATGCAACAGTGATATGGCAATGCATGAAAATAAAGACATACTTCTTGAGTAGATACAAAAAAATCCTCACCAAAAGAAAGAGTGACAAAAACACAAGGACAGCCATTCCCAAAATATCTTAAAGTGAAGCACTGACAAAGCAATGTTTTATGCAAAAAGTTCATTCTGCAAGGCTCAAAGAAAAAACAAAACTGAAGAATCCAGACAAGCCAATCAAGTCATTCAAGGGGAGGTAACACAACGTATGAAGTGACAATGAAGAATAAAGGAAAACAAACAATATACACACGTGAAAAGTTGGTTTCTACATACAGCAAGAAAAACAGAGGAAGCAGCTAAAATCATAAACTGAGACAAATCATAAACAGGAAGTATTCCTGCAGCCTTTCCAGTTGTGTGAGACTGGGTTGGAAGTAAACATGCAGTGGTAAATGTTCAAGATGAGCAGGACGTGCAGACTCACAACACCCAGTATGACTACACTACTGCACAACAACAACGTGACCGTCCACGAATTGCACATATAACGGTGTCCGGCAGCTCTAGGATACCTGAATGATCTCCAGACTCCCATGCAGTGAGCTGTGACTGCCACTCGAGGATATGCTGCTATTAGATTGGTACGGGTCGGATGACCCACGACACCGACACGGAAGGTGATCGAAGAATGAGGATGGAGATGTGAACCTGTCGCCTGGGCCGCAGCGTCGTGGAATCTTCCCGAACATTGTGCAATCACAGTCACTACTAGCATTACCTTCCTCGGAACTTAATATATCGTCCAAACTGCGAGCTTTCCGAGAGGCTTCGTACACTCTGGTCCGTAACATAGCACTATTCATTGCAGCAGTGATTTGTTTATACACTTCTCTTTCAGAGTATTTGCCCCACCTGAATTTCTTCTCTGATAAAGAGTCACTTTCTGAATCCTCCTGTTTTGATTTCTTACTGTTCTGTAACATGTAAGCCTCTGACGTGTCATCCTGAGACGCACTGCCGGATGTCGGCGAGTCTTGACAGTCAGAGCCAAGGTCGAAGGTAGGATAAGTAGAGAAGGCAATACTGTTGGGGCGTACCATTGGTCGCTTTGCCTTGTTCTCACGAGATCGTAAAATGACCTTGGAGGTCGTTGCCGTTGGTGATGTGACACTAGATCCAGAAGAACTACTACTTATGGACATGGGTGAAGAAGGTTCTAGAGATTTGGTCTCTGACACTGGAGAGGTGCTTGAACTGGGAGAACTCCGAGACGATGGCTTCTTGGAGCGTAACACAACTTTGTTAGTGACAGGCGAGGGCACAGATGCACTGCTGCTAGAGCTAACACTACTGATGGACATGGGTGATATTGGCTCCGAGGATTTAGAATCTGTTGAAGCTGTGCTGATTGGTCGCTTTGTGGCTCCTGCTCCTTTATGCTTGCCAGGGCTGTCGTCACTAGCCAGGCATGGAGTGAAGCTGAGTTTGTCAAGTGAGGTAGCTGGAAAGTTGTGAACCTGGGACTCATTCTCCACAGTGACAGTTTCCATCTGCTCCGCAAGTGTCGGACTGAAGTTGAGTTTGGCCATGGCTGTCGTTGGTGACTGAAGACTAAAGGGAACTCCTGAGCTAGAGCTTGCTCCTGGCAACCTCAAATGTTTGGATTTTGATGATGGTGTGTTACTTTCAGAAGGAAGCAGTCCAAGCAATGAGAACGGCTTGCTTGGTGTTGATGGTGTATTGTTCTCAGAAGAAGGCAAAGATAACCCTTCGAGAGATGTAGGCCGACTCGGCGTAGATGTCCTTTTCATTGGAGACTGTACTTTAAAGCTATCCATTGAAACTGGTCGAGTCTGAGGTGAACTAGCTGATGGAAAAATTGGACTCATTGTCACTGGACTGAGATTGAGTGAGAATTTCCTTCTGGTGGAACGAATTGTCTTAGTCTCTAGGGTCATATGATCCTTCACAAATGTCCCATCACTTGGACTCGAATCTACTTGCATTGATTCTTGCTGCTGAACACCCAGAGATAACGACTGAGGATGAGCGCACTTCTTTCTGAGTGTGACTGTGTCCATGAGTTCACATGAGGAGGAGATGTCCGAGGTGAGAGGAAGAATGAGACGAGGATCCTCTGTCTGATTGTCTGAGCTAGCACAGACGGACACACTCTCAACACCACTTTCTGCACACGGTCCACTTTGGTCCTCCACCTCTGGTTGTGCTGCCTCCTCTGCTGCTGCTGCTGCTGCTGCTGCTGCCGCCGCTGCTGCTGCTGCTGTCTGTGTCGATGAAGCTGCAAGTTTCACAGTTGTGTCCCCACATGGAAATCCGGTTTCCAAGTAGATCGGGTGCCTGTTGAAAGACTTTGTTACAGGTGAGGATGGACTACACAACTGCAAATCCATCACAAAGGGAGTTGGTCGATGTTCGTAAGTCTTAGCTGCACCATCAGGGGATTTCTTGCCACTTTCACTCAGACCTTGTCGCAACTGCTTTTCAAAGTCTAAAAGTTGCCCAAGGAAGTTAAAGTTTGGTGATATGGTTGGTCGCTTGTCCTTGACGTACCTGAAACAGAAATCAGTCTGTGACAAACAATCTGAAGAAAGAAGGGATCTCTGAGGGTTCATGACACACTTCCAGTCTCTAAACACTGTCTCTGAATATCAGAAATTAGTGAGTGAGTAAGTGAGGTTTTACGCCGCTTTTAGCAATATTCCAGCAATATCACGGCGGGGGACACCAGAAATGGGCTTCACACATTGTACCCATGTCGGGAATCGAACCCGGGTCTTCGGCGTGATGAGCTAACGCTTTAACCACTAGGCTACCCGACCGCCCCATATCAGAAATTAAGAACTGCAATGTCCAATGAATACAGATATATATGCTCAAAGTTATTACATACTGCATTGAAAAGGGTCCCTGGTCTTTTATTATCAAAAGTATTGGAAGTAAATTAAAGTGAGTGAGTTGGGTTTAACGCCGCTTTTAACAGTATTCCAGTTATAGCACGGCATGTCAGCTTAATGTGGGAGGAAAGCCCCAAGTGATGCAGGTCTCAGAGGTTTACCACTTCGGTGAAACCCACGAGCACGAGTATGGTGCTGACAAACCTAGAAACATAATTGGGGCGAACCGGGATTCGAACCCACAATCATAGGTTTCCGATGTGCCCAAGGGACGCAACTCTGCACAAGGAATCGCGGCGCCTTAGACGACTGGGCCACCCGTGCCCCCGGAAGTAATTTAAAACTTTCAGGTTGTGAAGTAGAAGATAAATAGGAAATAACATTGACGTTACATTAACTGCAACCTCATTCCCAAATAACAAACGTGCAGATGAAACATTCTACCATGAATTTGGTAAATACCAGATTTGTCACTCACAGGTTTCAAATCACAATCATTGAAGGTAGACATTTTGAAAGAAATGTCCAGTAAACTACATTTATAACAAACACGCTTATAGCAAACTGACGGATATAACAAAGTAGTTTTGGTCCTGTCCATTTGCTGTATATATGCTTATAACGAACTACGGTCATAACGAACTGAAATAAGTGGTCCCTCTGAGTTTGTTATAACTGTAGGTTTCTGTATGTACAAACATAGGTGATGTAATGGAGAGTTCCTGTTACTTTGATGTGTGACAATAACCCGTGTCATGTGGTAAGTACCTGTAGGCGTCGTCAGAAGACATCTTCATGTGATCCATGATGTAGGCAATAGCAAGTGTGGGTGAGCGGGAGATCCCCGCCAGGCAGTGCACCAGTACACAGCCATTTGCCTCACGCACCTTGTCTGGAACAAAATGTGACCATTGATGTTAGACTGATACTTCAAGATGTCAAATGTGAGTACTACAGATACCAAGCGACATGTACGTAGTGGAAGTTACCATCGGTAGCACTTCACAGCACATGCCCTGCCTATGGGATTGGTGCCTTACAAGTACACGTTATTTTCTTTGTTTAAGTTTGTTGTTTAACGACGCACTCAGCAATATTCCAGCTATATGACGGCAGTCTGTTAATAATCAATCTGGACCAGACAATCTAGTGATTGATATCATGAGCATCGATTAACGCAATTGGCATACGATGACATGCATCAACCAAGTCAGCGAGCCTGACCACTTGATCCCATTACACACCTTTTACGACAAGCATAGTCACCTTTTACGGCAAGCATGGGTTGCTTAAGACCTATTTTACCCCGGATCTTCACGGGTCAGTACACATTATCATTATCATTATCATTTAATCAATCACAAGAAAAATGGTACAAATATCTACTTGTGTGAGGTAAACTTAAAACATGTACTGCATAAGTAGAAGTAATTACCTGACTTGGATTACACCCGCTGATTATAATTCAAATATGTTTTTCTTCGGACATGATAAATGCATGACTTCAGTAATTTAAAAGTAACACTAAAGCTAGGACTCCTTGACATACATAAATCTAACAGAAAAAGGTTTGGATGAAACTTGTTTGTTGTATACAATCAAGTGTAACCATTGTTATCAACACAGGGTTTGACTCAGCCACAAGTCTGTTAGTTCAAGTCCAGTGAAAAATAAGGGCTGGTTGTTTTTAAACAAAATCAGTCTGAAATGAGCTGTGGACCACTGTAGTTGAATTTGACCAACGGCGCCTACCCCTGCAGCTTGAGCCATCATCCATTCAGTTACAGCACTAGAAATTGGCACTTGTACTTTTGTCCATGCCAAACTGACCAATAGTTAAGGTATCATAAGGACTAGCAGCAATTTGGCCTTTTTGAGGGTTTTGCTATATGATATCATAAGGACGATTGGACTAAAACTGTTAGTTTCTATCGCTGCAGTCGGGGTATGATGACACTCTATCAGACAGGCCGCACACTGTAACCATTTCATTCAGCTCTTCATCTAGGGGAGACTACTGCGAACATGATCCGCCTGCGTCCTACACATGGTGTTCAAGGTCAAGGTCGCTCAATGTCAGAAGAAGCTTGTGTGCATACAAATGTGAGTATTTATCAGTGGAACTTGACAACACTTTGCATTACATGATTTCTAAGATGGGGACCAGTGGGAGGTGTTGTGAGTTACTCACCAATGAACTGGAATGCTTGGTAGAAATATGGCAGCAGCTTCTCACTGTAATTGTCATTGACTGGAATGCGAAGGAAGTGGCCATCTTGGACAAATGGTGGCTGTCCGCAGTTTGTACTCAAGTTTAGGATGTAGTTAATCCCATTTACCTGAAGGCAATAAAAACACATCATGTTAGTACTGACAACGTTACAGAAATTCTGTCGACTAGAACAACAATCACAACACACAATTCATATGTTTTTTGTTTTTTGTTTAAGGTTGCACAATATTCCAGCTATATGATGGCGGTCTGTAAATAACTGAGTCTGGCCCAGACAATCCACTGATTGATTGTCTGACCACCCGTTCCCGTTAGTCGCCTCTTACGACAAGCATAGTCGCCTTTTAAGGCAAGCAAGGGTTGCTGAAGACCTATTCTACCCCGGATCTTCACGGGTCACAATTCATATGGAAGACAGGTATAAACACAGACATAGTGAATGCCATGATAGTCACACACACACAAGTGCTACTCGTCGTCAGTATAGCCACTGTTGCCACCCAATAAACCATACCACTCAACTGATGATAGAGATAGTCTCACAATTTAATGTTACAACGAACAGATTTCTTAGGATTTGGAAGCCATTGGCCAAGAAAGATATCTCAGTATCCCATTCAAAAGTATAGTATCATATTTGCATTAATAACAGGGTTTCAGATCCGCTCATTTTCTAGGACAATGACTGATGATTGTCCACCAAAATGTCTAAAACATAATTTTCAAAATTGGCAAGGACATAGAGGAATGTCCTATGAAAAGCTGATGAAATAGAGCATGACACACAACAGACAGTAATGACAACAGATAGGCAGATCCAGAGAGGGGGTCCGGACACCCCTCTTTTGAAAACCAAATGTAGCATGTTGCAGACAGTAAAATTATCTGAGAGAGGATTTTGATATTTTGGACCCTTTTAAAAATGCTGGATCTGCCCTTGCCATGGTTCGTGTAAATTCCAAGAAATAAATGCCAAAATGATGGCAGGGAGTGAATGGTTAGAATGGAAATCATCAAAATGTCCTAATGGCATTTGTCTCCAATTTGTCACTGAATATTACTCCAGTTATTTCAGGGGGGGGGCTTAGTATGGGGACTTGAAGCACTACTTGCAAGTTGGTCTAGAAATTGGTCAGGGGTGCCTACATCGTTCTTAATACAACGAATACAACACATTACAACAATTAAGGGATGCTGGGAACATATCACTTAGTCTGCCTCAACGCGAACATAAATCTTGAGAAATGTTGTGAGTTCCAATGTCAAGATGTACCAGCTCATTCATTTGGAAGATAAAGGCCCACTTAAATAAGCTCCAATGGATTTATGACATGTTAACAAGCGCAGCAACTTTAGCCGAAAATAGGAGCAGTTTATGTAATTACAGTCTTGTCTTCCACCATCTTGATCTGTAAGTCCTCCACACGTGGACCACAATGATCAACTGACAAATAACCGACGATTACATTCTTCAAAGAGACTTCATTTAATTTCCATGACCTTTAGAGCATGCCTCGTATCCCTAGTTAATGTCTTCACTGTGTGTCACAAGATATTCTTTACAGAGATGGGAGTTGAAAACAATGCGGGCCAACTCACTGAGTGTGAACACCTGTGACATACTAAAAAACTGAAAAACAACTCCAAAGTCGCAAATGGGAATTTCTGTTAGCTTTACATCATATTACATATATCTTTGTTTGATGTGGGAGAAAGACCATGACAGACACTGTTCTCAAAGCTTGGAAGGTAAAAGATAAAAGTTGATGGGATAAAGAATGATAGTCAAAATACAATGAGGGATAATAATAACAATAACAATAACAACGATAAGAATAATAATAAATAATTGAAAAATGAAAGACACATAATAATAATAATAATAATACAAAATAATAATAAATAATAATAATAACAACAATAATAGGGGAAAATGAATTGAAAAATGAGACACATAACAATAATAATAATAATAATAATAATAATAATACGAAAAAATAAATTAAATAATAAATTAAAAAATGAAAGACACACCCTGACTTGAAAAAAGAAAGAATTTTAGCCGTGAGCAGGTATAAAGCGTGACAGACAGCATCAGTGATGACTATGATTCGTATACACCCCCTGAAATATTGCCAAAATGCTGGTTGAGAGATAATGGTTAGAAACCACAATTTGCAGGAAGCAGGAGAGACAGATTGAATGATTGAGGGGGAACGCCGGAATACAAGTGACGAGTGAAGGCAGGAAGAAGGATGACAACATTTTGAACACAGCTCTAAGACGACTTTTATCACTCATGACTCATCCCACATCTATCACACACAGGTCAATGCACCTTAGCTGGTTACCACGCAGTTACCTCCCTTACGCTGTTTAAACAATAATTGGATCCTACTAGATTATCAGTGGATATTGATTGCCTCATAGGACAAGAGTCGAAGGGTCCACTTAACGGTTGTAGCAAAGACCTCTAGTTTCCTATATCAAACAAGATCTACCGTACTGACGACTTAAGTTTCTTAATAGCTCGTACAACTTTATTACAAATCTCTAAATTAAACAACACCAAACCACTGAATAATTTTTTGTCACATGAAACAGCATTAATCTGTTTAAAAAAAATAAACAAAACACATAAACATTTGAGAAAATAAATCAATAAAAAACATACACAAATTCATCTGTTTAGTGTTCCCCAATTCACATTCCAGATTTTCAAAAATACACACGTTAAAATTCTGCTTTTCAAACTATTTCAAATGAAAGCAATTAACTTAGAGCAGTCGAGCTTCACCACAAGCTTCTCAATCAAGTGGTAACATATTGATGTGAATATTGCTCATCAATGCCATGCGATAGTTTGATTGATTTCGTTTCTAGATTTTGCCGCGGCAGCATACAGCTGTGAGATGTGAGTCATCACCGAGCCAGTTCTGGAAAAACTCACCTATATGTATGAGCAAGCAACCAAACAGGAATTATCTCAATTGTGTCCAAATAATCTCCACATTCTAATTAACCTAAAAGAATTAAATAATTTTCTGACAAACCAACACTAAAACATAGAAACACTTTATATGTTGATTGTTGATTCACCCAAATCAATACACATAAAACAGGCCCTACGTATCAACTAGTGACATGTCTATTTACACATAGGAGTTGTCAAGGACGACAAACTTCCCCCTTAACAAACAACTAATGTATGATTATGATGATGCTTGTGAGTAACGAGTGCGTTAACACCCTGTATGAAACTGGCCACTCCCCCTATACATTCACACTGTTACCTACGTAATTCACAACACGCTTTGGTCATGGTTGGACGACCCTGTCCCTGGCAGTTGTACTATGTGGCCATGGGTCAGTGAACACACCATTCTGCTTCCTTGTAAGTTGGCTGACCTACATTCACAGTCATTTCACTGACATTCTCATTGAGACGAGAAACTGGGTGTCAACGTAGTTCTATAAACAGCATCATGCGTGTACCGATCGTGTACTGATAAGACACCATGCGTAAGGTACCTGTAGCACCGAGCCGTAATCCCGACAAGCACTCCCGAGACATGGCACTCAACAACAACAGAACGGCACATTCAAACGCCATGCTGTGATTGTCAAACGCCTAAATGTCTTACAGCAACTTTCTCAATGAAAAGTTAATTCTACATTGTTAAAACACAAGATTGGATCAGCTCTGGAAATATCAAAAGGTGTCCTGTTGTGATGTAGCACCTTGCTGTTAGTATACCATCACATAATGAATGATATGCTAAAACACACTATACATCTACATACATGTACTACTCAAAAGAAGTTAAGAACGCCCACGTCTTTCACATTACCATAGATTGACTGACAGATTAACTATAGTCTTATGAAACAAATTGGGTGTTCATTAACTTCTTTTGAGTAGTGTGTGTGTGTGTGTGTGTGTGTGTGTGTGTATATTTGTGTGTATATGCCTCTATAACAAGGATGGAAATAAAAACAAAACGACACCCTGTTGTTGACCTTTTTCGATGACTAACAAGTTATTGACAGATTATTGATCTCTCACATAAGTACTATTAACAACATATGTACACTTGAACTCCATCATGAGACCCACAATATCATTCAGCGAGCATTTGGTGTGAGTAGGGACACCATACACCTACGCCCTGTTCTACAAAGCAGTATTAGAGCTACGGCTGTTGTAAGTCTATGTTAAATTATGGGAGGTGAGTGAGTGAGTGAGTGAGTGAGTGAGTGAGTGAGTGAGTGAGTGAGTGAGGGTGAGTGAGTGAGTGAGTGAGTGAGTGAGTGAGTGAGTGAGTGAGTGAGTGAGTGAGTGAGTGAGTGAGTGAGTGAGTATGGTTTCATGCAGCTCCTAGCAATATTCCAGCAGTATGGCAGGGGCTTCACGCAATGCATACATACAGGAAATTGTGCCAGGGTCTTCGGTGTGACGTGCAAACACTTTGACCACACGGTTACCCCACCACTCTATGGAAGTTACAACAGTCATTGCTAAGATAGCCTTGTAGAACAAGGCCCTGAACTGTTACACAAAAGTATCTCACTGTCACCCCCAGTCAAGGAAGTGCAGGGGAATCAGTCCACACATCGGTGACGGAAAATATACAGGGCTATTTGAAATTTCTCAAATGACCCTGACACGTTTCCTGAGAGTAACAGGAGAAAGACAGGTATAACGCTGGGGATATGGTATCCACAGGACTAATCCACATTTCCCCTTCATACAGGATGACACTGACTAGCACCAGACTAGGCAGCCTTCTGTGTTAACTAGTCAGTTCCCAACTGATCAATGAGTGAGTACCTGAACTGTTTCCTGAGAGAGGGCATCTCGCTGTGAGCCCAGGTAGAGGAAGGGCAGGATTCGCGTTGGTCCGATGTTGGTGACAGGGAGACAGGGCTGGGACAGCGAGGTGAGGGGGGCACACTTGTAACTGCAGCTCGACTTGCTCTCACACAGAGAAGGGTGCATGGCTTGGAATGCCAAGAACCCCCCTGAAACACACAGACACATGATATTACCTCCACTGCACAGGATCATTAGTATTATATGGTGACTGAGGGTTCATCAAGCTACAAGATAAGAAAACACCTGATCAGAACAAAACATTCCTGAAACAAAATAGAAACAATCTGCACCTGTAAAGACGGTGCCAGTGAATGTAACATGATTGACATAGAACTCAAGTTTGCCTGGTGAAAAATTGTACCGGTATCATTTTAGGCCAAACATTATCAATTTCCATATCTTTAAAAAATTCAAGAGATAAAATGAAATGTTTATATTTGACAAAAGCATGTCTAACTGTTAGTTTTAATTTGTTTGTTGTTTAACACAGCTCTCGGCAATATTCCAGCTATTTGACGGCGGTGTGTAAATAATCGAGTCTTGAACAGACAATTCACTGATTGACATCATGAGCATCAATCAACGCAATTGGGATTCGATGACATGCATCAACCAAGTCAGCGAGCCTGACAACTCGATCCTGTTAGTCGCCTCTTACGACAAGTATAGTCGCCTTTCACAGCAAGCATGGGTTGCTGAAGACCTATTCTACCCCGGATCTTCACGGGAACCATGTCAAACTGCTGTTATGGATCCTTCACAAGTGTACTCCAGTTGCTTATTGAGGTATTTGGTTCACATCATAAAGTACAGTGAGCAGGATCCTTGTGCAATCTAAACCAATATTCAGCATCAACATACAGCCACCAAGTGACGAGCCAATGATTAACTTCCAACAGAGGTAAATGTGGAGAAGTGAGCAATCCCCTTATGACGTATTATCAATGGCATGTTAGTACCCGGTAATCAATTCCCTGATTTCAGAGTCACGATACCCACAACACTTACACTCCTACAACCAATAGCATCTGTTGATCACAGAAACAGGATGCAACAGTATTTTCTAAAATTGTTAAATAACATAAATCATCCCTTAATGATTGCAATCAAACCAAATACTGCAAGATGTTCATATAAACTTGTTTGACCAGATTGTACATCAACTTCTATATGTGAAGATCCGGGGTAGAGTAGGTCTTCAGCAACCCATGCTTAACGTAAAAGGCCACTAAAGGGATCGGGTGGTCAGGCTCACGACTTGGTGGATGCATGTCATCGATCCAAATTGCATGGATCGATGCTCATGATGTCAATCACTGGATTGTCTAGATTCGATTATTTACAGACCGCCATCATGAAGCCGAGGGCGGCATTAAACAACAAACAAACAAACAAAACAAAACTGTATTACAAAGGTAGCAACATATAAAGACGGTGCTCATCCATACTATCTTGTCATCAGTTTCATATCTAACTTTTAAATGACACCCACAGATCCTAAACTTCTTCATGTTGAAATCAAACAGGAAAACGTTTTCCAAGTGTTTTTCCCATTTCTCAACTGTGTCTTACCTATAACTTCCTGATAGTGATGTTTTTCTACAGATTAAATAAACAATAAAGCAAACAGGATACTAAATGATAACATCACATCCCTGTATGAGATGTTTTCCCATGCTGTTTGTGAATGGAGGAAGGAGGCCTAGTTATGCTAATGAGATGACACATCCACCTAGGATGAACACATATCTGCACTGAGGGAGTGTCCAGCTGTGTGGTCAATATCATCCGTATCTCCCTCCCCACCCTCTTATATGACAGTTACAACACCCTCTCTATTGTGTTACACTAACTTCCAGATAGCACGTTGGATCCTATTAGTGATCATGTTTCTGTGGCCACCATTGACGTACTTTATAATGAAGCAAGTTCATTGGCAGATTGTATGCAACAGTGAGTCAACATCAATTGATACCAAATGACCAGTATCAAATTGGAAATTTGTTGGTCATTCATTATCACAATTTCTTTCAAAAGAGGTCATCATTTCGAGAAATCTCAAGAACAATTGACTCAAAAGATGTTAGAATGCCTGAAACAAAAAGACCCAAAAATCTTGTTTCTCCATATTCTTCATGAAATAATAAAGATAAAAAAACCAGGTCAATTCCCACAATACAATCTTAGTGTGTGATTGTCATGGGTCTATGCTAAAGTATGTGAGTCCATCAGTCAAGCACTAAGATGTGTAGAACAGACCCTTAAACATGTTAACATCAGGAGATGCAAAGTAAAACACAAACTTCTCAAACTGCATAAATTAATGCTCCTTCCAAATTGTTTCTGACAATCCTGCAATGTAAGTTACAATTTCCCATCCCTGTAGGGCACCTGTCTGCTCTCTGCTCCATATACCTGTCTATATTCCCCATCCAATCACCATCCTATCATCCCATGTTAGAGTCTCCCCTGTGCATACATAAGCCTTCCTCCACCTCCCTCTCACAGGAGGCTGTGAGCCTCCTCACACCTTATCTCCTTACACTCAGGATTTAATCCATTTTTTTGGTGTATGAGTTAAGATGCTATTTTGGTTAAGCCGTCTATCTTTGATGCATGGATTCTGGGAACACAGCAGACACCAGGAATGAGGCAGACTAGCTAAGAGGCGAAGAACTCATCACACCTTGGTTTACATTACACTTTCAATCTTAGCTTAAATGATTTTCAATAAAACCTTCGAAGACATAGCCAAAATGAAAAAGTGTTTTTGCTCTCTGCAAGTAAGATTGTCAAGTAAGCTAAACATTTCAAAGTTTCCATAAACACTGATTATTTTTATCTGTCTGTCAAACAAAAATAGCTTATACAATCAATCGAAACTACTTACTGATTAACAAATATGATTTTTTCCCAAATGTTAAATTCTCATGCCTCGTGTGAACACCAACTTCTGAAGGAGATAACTCATCTTACCTTTGAGGAAAGTGACGGAGTTGTAGACATGTGCCAGTTTGCGTAACAGAACGTAGACAAAGTTGTCCTCGGTGAAGAGGGAGGGGTCCTCTGTGCACTGATCGTACACGATGACATTCCAACTCTCGTCAATATCCGCATGACATGTCTGTGCCAGCAGGTCTCTAACGTGTACCTACAACACAGTAAGCTCTCTGTACATGCACAGCACCTTCAGCCATGGACAAATCACACCATCACAGCAAAATGTGTGCAAGTGTGTGTTATGGTCAGAATGTACGTCCTGAAGTCGACACCATGTACATTCCATGTTTCATCTAACCTGAACATTCGTGTTAATGGATACTGTCATTCACACCCGAGAACATTCTCAGGCATCATCTGCACCAATAATCTAATAACAAAAATATCTGAAAATAGAATGGTCATAAATGACAGAGAATAATTTCACAACAGCATCATTTTCCTGTCATTCATTTCAGTGAGTTTAAAACTACTTGTTGTCTACATCCAGTAGAGCACCAGTGCATCTGGAATAGCGAAGCCATCTTTGTTAAGGCATCTGATTGAGAGTCTACATAAGCATTGACATGAAAGAGCCATTACAAAACATTTAATTCTCTCTCGATTCATCTGGAAATGAATCTGATACTTTCACATGCAAGGAAAGAGTTGATAAGTAGTCTTATTCCAAGCACTCTTGCCCATCAATTTGGTATCAGATTCACAATAAAAACAGCCCAAGAAAAGAGGAACATGTTGATGGGATCGAATCCAATATTCCAATGAATCAAGTGCATTTCTTTCTAAAATCAGCTTGATTTATGGTTTTCCTCCAGGGAAATCAAATAAGAAAATTCTAACTTTCCTTTCATCACGAAAGCCCTAGAAATCTCACTTGTAATACATACATGCCTTTCAAGTGTGTTCTGTCTCAGTGTAGAGTTACATCTTGGTTGAGTGTGATTGGACATCACCTAGCTCTCATACAATTAATACAGCAGCTGGTGTCATCATGTCCACACATTCACATACATACATTTTTTACCTACGAGGGCAAACATATCCGGGTTCATATAAATCATATGTGCCCTAGGGACATATCACATCATGAGACAACAGTGTGTTGTTTCCGTCATCCGAATGGCATTGTTAAAGTCATGCGAATTTGGTGACTCGGAATGACGTCACACTAGAAATGACGTCATGGCTGAAGATTGTTGGCGTCATTCGACAAATACTGGTTACCGACTGTCCTTATAGGTAAACTCTAAAATTTGTCTCTGTATGTAGACATCTTCGCTAATACATAGAACATTATATTTGTGTTTATGTCATACTATGTTTACGACACTTGGCCTAAATTCCGGAATTTACCTCGCTCGGGAGATACCGGAACTTAGACACTCGTGTCGTAAACATAGTATGACATGAACACTCATATAATATCCTCTACAAACCTGATACCAGAACAGTTATTATACACTTGCCACAAGCAACCCTATGTAAAACGCATCTTCCCTGTGAGTATACAGTTATTATACACTTGCCACAAGCAACCCTTAATAAAACGCATCTTCCCTGTGAGTATACAGTTATTATACACTTGCCACAAGCAACCCTTAATAAAACGCATCTTCCCTGTGAGTATACAGTTATTATACACTTGCCACAAGCAACCCTATGTAAAACGCATCTTCCCTGTGAGTATACAGTTATTATCCTCTTGCCACAAGCAACCCTATGTAAAACGCATCTTCCCTGTGAGTATACAGTTATTATACACTTGCCACAAGCAACCCTATGTAAAACGCATCTTCCCTGTGAGTATACAGTTATTATCCTCTTGCCACAAGCAACCCTATGTAAAACGCAGCTTCCCTGTGAGTATACAGTTATTATACACTTGCAAAAGCAACCCTATGTAATACGCATCTTCCCTGTGAGTATACAGTTATTATCATCTTGCCTTTATGCATATATCATAAGAATGGTGTACTTAGAAAGTTTAATGTTACATATTTCATGACTTGTAAAAGAACACCAGACGATGTTAGACTAAAATGTCTGTTAAGAATAAAAAAATTGCTTTTCTGAAGCATGGCCTTGTGTAACAGTCTAAGTTTTAACTCATCTGCAATGGAATCATGAAAGTTGAGATTGATCTCATGCTTGGAATCAATACGTGTATCTGTTGCTGGGACATGAAACATAGATGATGCGGACAGAGACTCTCAACACACACCGCCAGTCAGTTGGAAGCTGACTTTGCGTATATGTATAGGTATAGAGCAAACAAAACGTATTCATTATTAATCAATTCGGCAAATACCAATAGTTCTCCACTCCCACCTACTATCTGTCCAGCAAGGTACACTACATGCTAGGTACATGTGGCTGGTGATACAGTGATACACTAGAATTTAGTATGTTTAAGCAGGAACGATTATTGGGGACTTGCCCAATGTAAAAGTGGTATATAACTTGGGCGAGTGAAATTTTCATATCTTGGATAGTGAGCATGCCAGTGTTAACATTGTTCAAGCTAGTGGTCTGGAAAATACAACACTGGATATCCATACAGTTCCTTACCAGGCTTACAGTTTCATATCAGATTGCTCCAATCATTTGGGTCAATGAGCTTGTAGTGTTTTTGTGGTGAGTGTCTGTGTGAGCATGTATGATGTATACTGTATGTAGGTACTTGTGTGTGCATGCATACTGTTTGTGAGTTCTTGTGTGTGAGCCTGTGTGTGTATGTATACTTGTAAGATATATGTGTGAGCATGTGCTTGTGGTGCGTGTGCATGTATACTATTTATGAGTTCTTGTGTGTGCATGAATACTGTCTGTGACTAGTGTGTGAGTGTTTGCATGCATACTGTCTGCAAGTGTTTTGCGTGTGAATGCATACTGTCTGCATGTTGTGTGTGTGAGCCACTGTGTGCATGCATACTGTCTGTGAGTAGTGTGTGTGAGCCAGTGTGCATGCATACTGTCTGTGAGTAGTGTGTGAGCCACTGTGTGCATGCATACTGTCTGTGCATAGTGTGTGTGAGCCACTGTGTGCATGCATACTGTCTGTGCATAGTGTGTATGAGCCACTGTGTGCATGCATACTGTCAGTGCATGGTGTGTGAGCCACTGTTTGCATGCATACTGTCTGTGAGTAGTGTGTGAAGCACTGTATGCATGCATACTGTCTGTGCATAGTGTGTGTGAGCCACTGTGTGCATGCATACTGTCTGTGAGTAGTGTGTGTGTGTGCCACTGTGTGCATGCATACTGTCTGTGCGTAGTGTGTGTGAGCCCATGTATGCATGCATACTGTCTATGAGTAGTGTGTGTGAGCCACTGTTTGCATGCATACTGTCTGTGAGTAGTGTGTGAAGCACTGTATGCATGCATACTGTCTGTGCATAGTGTGTGTGAGCCACTGTGTGCATGCATACTGTCTGTGAGTAGTGTGTGTGTGTGCCACTGTGTGCATGCATACTGTCTGTGCGTAGTGTGTGTGAGCCCATGTATGCATGCATACTGTCTATGAGTAGTGTGTGTGAGCCACTGTGTGCATGCATACTGTCTGTGAGTAGTGTGTGAGCCACTGTGTGCATGCATACTGTCTGTGAGTAGTGTGTGTAAGCCAATGTGTGCATGCATACTGTCTGTGAGTAGTGTGTGTGTGCCACTGTGTGCATGCATACTGTCTGTGAGTAGTGTGTGAGCCACTGTGTGCATGCATACTGTCTGTGAGTAGTATGTGTGAGCCACTGTGTGCATGCATACCGTCTGTGAGTAGTGTGTGTGAGCCACTGTGTGCATGCATACTGTCTGTGAGTAGTGTGTGTGTTTGCCACTGTGTGCATGCATACTGTCTCTGACTATGCATGCACACAGTGGCTAACACACTACTCTCAGACAGTATGCATGCACACAGTGTGTGAGTAGTGTGAGCCATTGTGTGCATGCATACTGTGTGTGCGTAGTGTGTCTGAGCCATTGTGTGCATGCATACTGTCTGTGAGTAGTGTGTGTGAGCCACTGTGTGCATGCATACTGTATGTGAGTTTTGTGTAAGCCATTATGTGCATGCATACTCTGTGTGCGTAGTGTGTGTGAGCCATTGTGTGCATGCATACTGTCTGTGAATAGTGTGTGTGAGCCACATTCATCACACGTTTGGAATTCAGGATTTTAGAAACCTATCTCAGTTAGTGAAAGTGACATTTTCCTATAATTACCGTCACCACAATTCAATTTAATTGTCATACTCAAACTACCACCCATAGCAACATATCAGTCTTCAACTCTACAAACTTTCGGATATATCAGTCACAATGTCTCTCAAATACCATCAGCAATTGGGACTTTGATGTGGTTTCTTACTTTGCTTAATAAGCTTTGTGGTGAGTCAAGGCCGACTATTAGTTCACTTGGCTGGGCGTGTGATAGTCACATGGGCAGGGTAATACACTAGCTGTCAAGACCTCACTGTGACTCAGGCTCTCACATCAGCCAATCAATCATAAGTAGATAGGCATCAATGTCATATCAATATAGACAGGCCCTCATATACTCCAGTAACAATGCTGTGTTGACATATTTCCATAATTAACGAAGAGACACTATAAAGCATGAGTACAAAAACACAGAGAACCTTTTTTGAAAAATATACCAGATGAAGTGCAATGTTTCTACAAGTCTCGAGAGTATGTACTTAAAATATCTTAAAAAACAGTAATATATAGACCACAAAGCAATTAGTTCCTTAACTAATGGTTCAAAATCATTCCAACACATAAGGAGCCTACCGAAAACACAAGGTGCCAAATCTCATTTTTTTTTATGTTGGATGCATTGTAAAACCCAACTTTATGGACAGAAGCAGTCAAACTCATCGACAACAGTGACTCAAACTACAACATACCGGTAGTTTACTACTGACTGTGGAAAACATTGCCAGCAATCTATCATTATTGCTTATCTTTCAGTACTACTCTTTGTCAACAGGTACTTGCATTGTTGATACATCATTTAACTGCCAACAGTAACGCCACAGAAACATTTTCCAGGTGAGCTATCAACACCTCAACATCACCTCCACACCGATGGCTGCAAGGGTACATGTATTTGACAAGAATACCATCTCCAGTTTAATGGCATCTTTATGAAGCC